TCCAGACTTGAATTTGGGGGAAGGAGTCACCTGACCTACCTCTGTTGGTCCTTTGGGGACTAGAGAAAGGGAGAAATGCAAGGCAATCTGCTAGATTCTAATCCCAGAGAGACAAACCCAAGGAAACCTATTTTAAACACTCTTTGATCTACTCTCCTTGTGGTGGTGATGGAGGTGGGCAAAGAAGTTTCTATATAGATGAGAACTATTTTTTGGTGGAGGAAGGTTATGGTTTTATTTTTAAAGGACAGTTAAAGCCTCTGAAAGCCAACTCCCCAGCTTTGACCAGCACAGTCCAGCCTCTCACTCAGGATTCTCTGTCTTCCCGAAACCTGCTGGGCTGTGGACTACACTCTTGGTCCTAAGAGGTGGAATGGTCATTTCTGGGTCCTGGAGCTCCCAAAGTTTTTTGCAAAAACGGGGATATCTCTGGCACTTAGAGGAGTGACTAAAGCGGTTGGAGTGTGCAGTGGGATCGGAATACAGATGCTGTGGGTGCAGGCATTTAGGGGGAGAGTTGAGGTGAAGGGACCCCTGACTGGGGCCTGCTCTCTGGGCCCGAGATGCTGCATTTTCGGTTTTCCCGGTGCCAGCCTGGTTTTCAGGCTTCAGAAGGATCCCCCATGAAATTCCACCCTCTCCCTGGAACCAGAGCTGACAAAAATATAGGAATGATGGAAAATCAAAGCAGGGGCGGGGCTGGCTGAATCCTATCCGAATGGGACTTTTTTGGGGTGGGGACTGGGTGAGGGAAAGAGAAGGTTCTGGCGAAAAGTCGAGCTGGAGAGGACAAGCTGAATCAAATTCCTGCTCTGTCATTTTTCTCCCAAGTAATGACCTACGCAAAATTCAATATGACCCAGCGAACTGCGCGAGCGTATTATAGTAACTGCCTGCTCGTGGGGGAGGCCGGGAGAGGGGTGAACCGCAGGTCACGGCGTCTAAAAATTATTAAAATGTTCGAAAGCCTCGTGACGCGGCTAAGCTGTCTAACAAAGACTGCCAAAGTATGAGATTAATACGAAAACTTGCGCTTCGAAAACAAAAACACACCAAAAAAAAAAAAAAAAAAAGCCTTGTTCCGGCCTCCGAGGGGGCCCACGGCTCCTCTGCCCGCAGCCGCGGTTCGGTTTCCCGGACGCCCGATAGTGGACAAGAGTGAGCTCAGCTGTTGCCCAGCGTGTCCGCGGGCGGGTCGGCGGCCGGCGG